GGATGTCGCTCTGAACCTCTCAACTCGATGAGCCTGACATGAGAGCAGAGCTGTACATCTTTACAGGTGTATGTTGGTGCTCTGTACCCAGGCCTGTTTCCAGCCGTAATGGTCCTTGCAGCCTTGTGCCTCTGATGGCAGCAATGACAGCTGGTAAAGTTTGAGCCTACCCACACACAGTTGGTGCTCTTCCCAGAAAGGATCCAAGTTTTGTGCCACCTGATACTGGATGCGTCCAGAAGCGTTATCTGGATGCATTTGGGAGGATAACCTGCTCACCCTATGCCTGCATTCAAACCATAAGCCTAGAGATCTAGCAATCAAACATCTTTTGTAAATACTTTTTTTTTTTTTGAGTAAAAAATGGTGCCAGATATGGCTTTAGGTGGCATCTAGTTGGAAAAATAAAATACCTGAGATCTGTTTGATCTAACTTTTGCCTCACTCAAGCCCATTCTGCAAAACCAGAATGAAGTTTTATTTGAGACAGATTATCTCTAAACTTGCCCTTTCCAAAACCACAGATATAAAGTAATGCCAAACAAGTAATAGTATCAAAGTCACCTATATCAAAATACTACCTGTCCTGAGATTAAATTCTGATGCTGTCTAGTACAGGTATGGTACCAACTGATTAACACATGTTGTCCCACATTCCTAAGCAGCTCCTGCATCTAAGTGTATGCAAACGTCTAGGATTAAGGCCAGAGGAAAAAAAAAAAAAAAAGTTTAGTTTTCATTGGTTTTGATCAGAGACTGCAAATGCTTTGGGGTAGGATTGACTTTTTATGCAATGGGTGGACAGTATCTAGATCCAGTGGAACCCAAATCTCTCAATCTCTCTGTACATTTCTGTAATATAAGTGATCATTAATACTACTGTAAAAATGGCATCTTTCTGAATGATTTAGCTTTTCAGAAACAGACAAGAACACCACTAGTATACCTTTTGCTATGTTTGAAAGCATGCAATTAGACACGTATCTTATAAACATAAACAAACACCTCCCATCCAACCTCCGTGTTTCTAAGAAAACCCAAGTTTGTTTAGACAAGGGGTTGATAATCCAGTTTGAACACAGGTATCTGAATGCTGTGACAGCTTCTTCATAATGCTAAGCTTATGGTACATTAAACTTTAAAGGAAGATAAACTCCTGCTTTCATTTTATCAAACATCTTCCCAGACAGCAAAAAGAAAGACACAAAGCAATGTTTGCAGCTACAACCAAGCATGGGATACCCAACTCAGCGTATGTTTGAAATGAAAATCAACAGTATGTTGCACAGATACACTACTGTATTTTTCAATAGAGACTATCACTGGGATTTGTAAATGTTAACCTCATTCCTCCCTTAAGTGTTTATTTTTATTTCATGCCTGAAAAAAGCTGAGATTCACAAAGATTAAGCAAATAGAGACAGCAGTCCTTGCAGTTGAGAAAGGAAGGGATCTTAAAAGAAACTGCTCTGATACTCAATTTGGCTAGTAGCAATTATAGGGGGTGGAAGAGACATGGACAAGAGATTTTTGAGAAGTACTCAGTGTTGTGCCACTGGTATTACTGAACTTTATGTATTTAGACATATTATGCCTTTTTGTGGTTGGTTAAGCAGTAATTTCATTGTCTGTCACAACAGTAATGAGGTAGCAACAGCCATCGAAGAATCCATGATATGAGATCTGCAAGAAGAGACTTTGACCTGCTGAGAGCAAGTGCTAAGGATGGGGAGGGTAGACAGCAAGCAGGCTAGAGCAGCCTGTTAAATTAACAGATTACCAAAAAAAGCAACCTAAGGTTTGTTCTTCCCATTTCAAATCTGAAAAGCCTGTGTACCCAGAAGCTTCTCTGTTCTTTCTACTCCCAACATTAAAACAACTACCTTAGAAAGTCTCTCCTTACAGCTGACTTAAGGTCATGTGCAAGACAAACACTGAGAGATTATAGTTGCTGAATTTTTCCACTGATTTAAAATTGACACAATACAGTACACACATCACCTTTATGAAGGCGATGTACATATTACACCGATGACAACACAGGAGAAATCAGAGATGTTCTATTAGAGGATTGGTTATAAAAAGTTATTGATGATCTTCACTGTACCATTAATAAGTCTAAAAAAATTTATCAAATCATCCAAGTTTCCTCCTACGACCTGTATCTTCTCTAGAGGTTTATTTTGATGCAGCTACAGCCTCTCTTCCCTTTCCCAACCACCCTTGCTTCTCTCCCTGTTTCATATGACCTCACCTTACCCAAAAATGTGAAAAGATTGGTCTTATCACAACTTAGCAAGATACCACCTGCCAGCTGAACTGTGATAAATTACAGCTGGCCTTACAATACACATGCTAACAGTGACTGAACCGATGGTCAGCAGCTCAAGACTGTCATGCAAACCACCCAGTAACCCCATCCACAAAAATCATGCTAAGGAAATAACTCTATAACACAAGAGTTGCCATCACCATGTTGCTGTTCTAGTGTGCATTAGATCTACTGACTCTCTTCTCTACTTGCAAGTGCCTTCTGTTTAGCCTGTAAGCCTTTTACAGCCAACAAGATGGACAAACTGCCTCTTCCTTGTACTCACATAGCAGTTGACACAATATGACCCCAGTTAATTATAAGGTACTTCCATAAAAAAATTTACAACAGCAAATATTCATTCTTCCATTCTCCCATGACTGCCCTTCTGAAAAGATACAATGCTGGTAGAAAAAGCTAGAAAAAGAATTCGGAAGTTATTAAAAAATGAGAATAAGGCTTAGAATGAAAACGTCAAAGGAACTTGAAGAGTTATTATTTTATTATTACCCCTGCCATACATTACATTTGTGTTTTCTGACTCCTAGAAGAGCCAGACAATTGGGTATGCAACATGATTGTAATAAAAACATTCTCTAAAATTAGGGACCTGCATTTCTATTAGCAACCCTTTACACACTCTTTAAATGAGTCTTAAACTCATGCCATGAACAAAGGAAGCTGTGAGCACGCACTGGGTTTTACTTACTTGTTTAAACAGACACGCAGTGTAAAAAACTTTGTAAAAAATAGACTCTCAAATGAATAGGTTGACAGGTTTAAGCAACAAACACCACACTTGCAGATGTGCTTCAAGCCATTAACCTTACAGGTTCAGTCACTGCATTTTACAGAAATAAATGGATCTGAATAGCTTAGCCCCCAGGCAAACCTACCAATAGCCCACAGATGTTGCCCAGCATATTTCACTGAAAGTTTAAGAAACAACAGCTTCTCATTGGAGGAGTGACCTATAGGCACCTGTACTTAATAAGCTACTTAAAATCAACCTGTATCTGTAGATCAACAAAATTGGTTAGTAATAACCATTGGCAGGTAAGAGTAGAAAACACTTTCCCATATAAAACTCCACCTTCCTTTACTTGATGCCTTCACAGAACTCACCTTCAGCCGGGAAAAGAGAAGCACTGAAAGGGGTATCTTTACTGTAAGGCAATTTCCCACCTCACTCCTAAATTGGACTTTTTGAAACTTATATGGTAGGCACGAATTCAGCAGCTATCTGTTCCCAGCCAGAAGCCTGGTTTAACTTTGACTTCAGTCTGCAATTAGAGCTAGGTTTGTTTATGGCAAAACTGAATTCTGCACTAAACTGCCATGTCTTCACTTCAAAGGAAGGAACAATCTTCCTTAAATTGAACCAGAAAATGAGGGTCTGGAGAAGCATGCACCAGAACATACCCTACATTTATACAGAACAGTTCTGCGTCTTCAGAGGCCTCAGCCCATCTTAGCATGTACTACATGGAAGCATCAGGCTCTTTCAGCTGACTCACAAGCATCTGGATCTCACCAACCAATCTACACTTCTGAACTGTGGATGCACCTCTGCTCTCCCTATCACACCCTTGAGCTCACAGAGATGCACAGGTCAGCAGCTAAACAGCATGGTTTTACTGACAGATCTAGTGCTGCCATTCTTTTCCTGGTAAAATTCAAAGGAAGTAAGACTTGGACGTTTGTGATGATTTGGGTAGATCTTATTAAGAAAGCAGGCTCACCCACCTACTTGATATGGCAATGTACATCAAATAGAGCTTGACTTGACTGTTTTCCAGTCTCTCTAGACCCTCCCTTGACACAGAAGGAAGTTGAACAAAGCTCAACAGAGTCAAAGAATAAAGAAATATGTGCAGAAGTGATCTGTCACTTACACTGCTGCCACAGAGTTGTGCTAAACTCATGGTGCCATCACTATTCTCTCCTAGATTAGCTTTGGGTTTTTGTCAGAGATTCTTTTTCTACCACTGTGCCTGAAACCTTTTTCTTGAACACACATACAAATGAGAAAAAACACTGGTTGACTGGAAGGCAGGATTTGAAGAGGTATTCATTCAAGTAAAAACAGTCAGAAAAGCACTCCCAGTTCAGCTAATTTAATTTCTGAAATAAATTATCCGGATGGGGTGGGTTTTTTCATTTCAGTACAGCTCACTGCAATGCCTACTGTGCTAACCATTAGGGCTGCTGTTATTCTGATTTGTATCCACCACTCAGTGTGGAAAGAACAAGAGAGGAAATTCAAGTAGCAGTTAAAGTGTCTGTACACTTAAGCCAAGAAGCCTGGCAAGGGACAAGTGTGCAGCATAGTACAGAGGAGAGGTCCAACAAGTACTTGGTTTCTTTCTGACCAGCAACAATATTCCTGCCACCTACAGAAACTAGTAAGAAACCACCAATAGTAAGTTCTTAATTTTGAGGACAATTTTTGTTAGCAGTTTGTTGGTAAAGCACTTATGAGAAAATATTGCAAGGCGAGAATTCTCTGAAACGCATCATGAGTTCCATAAGTATTTATTTCAATCTCGCATCCAAGCCAACTCCCCCTCCATATCCCTTCTAGCCAATTATCTTCCAGTTTCCCCTTATGAATAAAAGACTATAGATGTTGGGGAGCTTCAGCAGGCTTTGTGTCTGATATGCAGCCCATATCACCATTATCACTTACCAGTACAGCAGGACCAGGAAGACTGCCAGCAAAGCCAGGGTAACCGTTGTACTATTCATTTCTATAGAGGCAAATGCCAGGAGATCTACAGGCCCCATTTTCCTCCACTACAGCTCCAGCCTTGAGTGGTGTGTGCAGGGGAAAGTCTCCGCAAGAGCTGATAAAGCCTTCTACAGCTATATGAATGACATCTGCAGCAAAACAGGAACCAAGAGAGCAAAAACACATCAAGTCAAGTAAAAACTGCCAACCTTTCCTGTTCTCATCGACTGCACACTCTGAGAGAACTTGAAGGTTCCCTGAATGGTAGGATGTAGCAACTTCCCCCCTCCGACTGTTGTTGACTGTCATGCCAGTAAATATTTACATACCCACCGCTTGAGACATCAGTGCTGTTGAATAGGTTTTTAGACATTGAGTATGAGAAACTGGGGAAAAAGTGTGGGGAAAAAAAGAGGGGGAGAGAGCCTGACCATGGTACAGACCATGGAAGAAGAATATAAAGACCCTTCGGGGGTGCCCTGGCATACAAACAGTGGCATTCTCTGAAGTAAGAACAACAGAGCATCTCTGCAACATTAAACTTCATTACCGTATAATCTCCAAACTGGTTATACCTGAAAAGAATGAAGCAAAGTAAACTTTAAATTGTCACAACTAAAAGGAGGAATTAAGGGAAAACTCTTCTCATGTGACTACTGGAACACATATATAGAAAGAAAAACTAATGAGCAGAAAAACCCAACTGCACTACTAGGGTCCTCAAGTCAGCATCTGTCACATTGGTTAGTCCACACAGACAGAACTGTTTGGCTGTATCATCTAAGGTTCATGAGTAATATGAGCAAATTTTCCTGGCTTAATGCAGTGGTACCCTTGGAGGTACCATCAACCAGCCTCTCTGGAGATACTGGAGGTACTCTGGCAAATCCTGCATTGTATTTCTAGTATCAGCATTAATATCAGTATGGCCACATCTACTATCTCTGCACTGTGGCACAGTCAAGCTGTCACACTCCCTTGAACAACCTGCACATGAACAGTCAAGCTTTGACTGCAGTTCAGAAAATGTTTTGTCCATAGTATAGGAATCATAGAATCACAGAATGATTTGGGTTAGAAGGGACCTTAAAGACCATCTAGTTCCAACCCCTCTGCCATGGGCAGGGACACCTTCCACTAGACCAGGCTGCTCAAAGCCCCGTCCAGCCTGGCCTTGAACACTTCCAGGGAGGGGGCAGCCACAGCTTCTCTGGGCAACCTGTGCCAGTGTCTCACCACCCTCACATCACAGAGTTTCTTCCTTGTATCTAATCTAAATCTACCCTCTTTCAGTCTAAAACCATTACCCCTCATCCTATCACTACACTCCCTGATGCAGAGTACCACCCCCAACTTTCCTGTAGCCCCCTTTAAGTACTGGAAGGCTGCTAAAAAGTTTTCCTGGAGCCTTTTCTTCTCCAGGCTCAACAACCCCAACTCTCTCAGCCTGTCCTCATAAGGGAGGTTTTTCATCCACCCATCATCTACATAGCCCTCCACTCAGCCCAGCCTGTATTTGTGCTTGGGATTGAACTCAGCCTTGTTGATCTTTATGAGGTTTGCATGGGCCCACCTTTCAAGCCTGTCAATGTCCCTCTTCTTGGCATCCTTTCCCTCCAGCGTATCAACTGCACCACACAGCTTGGTGATGTTGGCAAACTTGCTGAGGTTGCACTCAATCCCACTGTCCATGTCTCCAACAAAGATGTTAAACAGCACCGGTCCCAATACCAACCCCTGAGGAACGCCACTTGTTACCCCTCTCCAGTTGGACATGGAGCCATTGACTACAACTCTGACTGCGAACATTCAGCCAATTCCTTATCCACCAAGTGGTCCATCCATCAAATCCATGTCTCTCCAGCTCAGAGACAAGGATGTCATGTGGGACAGTGTCAAAAGCTTTGCACAAATCCAGGTAGATGATGTCAGTCATCTGAATGCATCTGAAAGCTGAATTCCTCAGCTTTTTTCCCGTATTTTCCTGCCTGCAAACTTCAATCCTGTTTCAAGCATATGATCCAGTCCAATTCTGGTCAACCAGAAAGCAAACCTTGAAGCACTTCTCTGAGAGAAGACCACCAACCTGTTACACACAAAGTTACCAAATGCCATTATCAAAAAAATCTGCAGGATTACAGCAGCAGCAGCAACTTGCAAGTGAGCACTCTTGCCCATGACAAAATTCACCGAACTGTCTGGTATCGTTTGTTACTTATGAAACTAGAAATACCCATGTTTGTACTGCAGCCTTTCCATATAACCTGTTTTAAAGTTAAGGAAATCAAAGCTACCCAAAAAACTAGGTTTGTGAATTATACAGTATCCTTGAGAAACAGAAATTCTACAACATCTGATTCCCATAACACACCAGATGAAGAGTGGTTTCTTCACATACAACCCCAAGATAATAGCTTAGATTTAATGTGCAAGACTTCTCCAATATCACTGTATTACATTTCCTGCTCTTATCAGAGAAGTTAATAATATAGGTATCAAAAAAGTAAAATCTCTAACACAATGGAGTTTAATTTTAAGAAGATTTGCCTCTACTCTAACTGAATCACTGCTATTTTGGTTCTCCGTGCTTCACAACTGCATTAATTCCCTTCCAGCCTCAGATCCTTGCAGAATAAGTAAAAGGTGTTAACCAGCTCATCAGCTCCACAGAATAGCACAGTAGTTCACAGAAAACGTTGATTATTGTATTAACAATGCTATTGCTATTCTGGGTCAATAATAGCTCTGCCGGTTTGCTGCTGCTGCCAAGTTCTCCAAGAACAACTGCAACAAGATTGAAGACCAGTGACGCAAGGAATTAATCAGTGGGCACAAGCCAATCCCAAACAGCAATTGATCCTGTGGGACTTTAAGAAAAAAAATAAAAATCAAATATCCATATGAATTAAAGTCTCTTCAAAAAACTAAACCAATCACCACAAGTGTAGAAGGCAAGAACTAATATTCCAACTTCACTGTGCTTTAATTTGCTTGGCTTTTTAATTAAAGGACATATTTTTCTGCACGTAGAAGACTGATGACCTCCTATTAAAGTCCATGGCAAAACTACTATCAGTAAACACAGAGTCAAGTACAGACCTCACTTATTTTTTAAGAAGCACTGGAGCCTTTTCCCAGTCACAATGGGAGATAGGTGGGATGAATAGTTCTCAAACACACACATTATGAAAGAAAATAGGCTCTCACATCAGCATCCAATTTGGAAGAGAACACATAATCAAGCTCCCAACAACAACAACCACACTTTTCTGTTGTTGATGTAGGAGGTTTCTTTTTGCTTTGTTTTTTAAGCCTCAGCACCTGTTTCTTGCTGGAGTTTTAACTCAGCACCTCCAACCAGTAAGAAGGGTGGCAAACAGCACTGACTCTAAAACTGACCTGGAGCACTCCTAACCGGAGACCCACAGGCTCACAGTTATCATCCCAGACTTAAGGATCTCAGCTCCGTGAAGGGTCACAAAAATCCACATGATGCTTTGTGGGGTGGGGGGAAAGGGGTCAGGGATGCAGACAGCAATGAAAATAGTCTATCTACTGGTCCTGCATCTCTCTTTACAGGTCCTTTACATGAGAAACACCATCCTAATTAAAGTTAATAGCACGAATATTTTTCACCAACCTCCCAGTTCTTTTTGTGGAGCCACACTTGTCAGACTGATTATGATAATGGTATCAAAGAACTACAGAGACAGATACAAAGTCCTCACTAACCACATGCCAGAGGAAGCCAGAGACAAGCAGAAGTGGAAGAGAGCCTTTTCCTGTCAGACTGCTATGAGTCAGCAGCACTGTCTGCATTTGCCTCCACAAGACTTCACTCAAGATTGCATCTACCAAGGTTCACAGCTCCTTGATGCCATCCAAGCTCTTCTCTTCCGTAGCAAGTAAAATCTACAGATCACCACCTTGTTTAATATAAACTTCAACAACAACAACAACAACAAATGTTTAACACAAACTTACACTTGAGATACTCATCTCATCCTTCTATTTCCCAGCACTGCTGTAACTGTAGCCTTGGAGCTCCCCAGCACATGTCAGACCTACAAGACAGAAACAGTTCAACCCCAAACAGCCAGAGCTTCAGCTTGCATGGACGTTCACAGCAGTAAATATTAAAAAGAGAAGTACATTATAGCATTCAAAGTCAGAGAAGTTGAATTGTTCCTCAACTGAAAAAGAAAAAAACACCAGCACGCAGACAATCCAGGTTTTCCAGGAAGCCTTCATGCCTTAAAGCCCTGTCTGCTATGACTCCAATAATATTTTCTGTAAATGTTCTTCCAAAACAATGCATTTCAGCTTCAAAATGAATACAAGTGTAGCAATGAGCCTCAGCAATGCTTGACATATACAAGTATCGTTCTGACATGAAATATAGAGCTTATTAAAAAGTAGGATTATAGACCTTCTCAGTAGACCTAAATCATGTTAAGGATTTTGACCTATCTTCAAAGCATATCAAATGGAAAATGTAGTCTCATGTATTTCAGAGGCTAATGACTACACCAGCTAGACTAACCACACACTCCTGATAATGACCAAATTCAATTCCTCTCACACTATTCTACCCCATATGTTTTAGGTCTGTAATAATCTAATTAAGGCTGAGGCACATCAACTTTAAGATAGAAGAAGGAAGTCTAGAAAGGTGTTAAGTTTTAATTTTACAGCTGTTCATCTCTATAGATACTTGTAGCATAGTCTTCAGATCATCGAAATTCTGTTATATAGATAGTTTAGCCACAAAATACTGCAAATGAAATACCACAGAACAGCTTAAAAAAACCCATAAGATTAATCAGAGACTAGTTTATGTATAAACTTTAACAAAGCCCATGTACAAAACTGTGTAAGTATATATGATATTAATTTATCTTAAAGACAAAAACCTTTCCAAAGCCAAAATGAATTCTTAACAGCTTTAAGGCAGACCAATCAAAAATATCAAAGCACATTTCACAAAGATATTGTTTATATTTAAAACAACCTTAATGGCCAAAGTACTGGGAATACTAATGTATTGGAATAGAAGGATTCACAGAGGCCATCTAGGACTTCATTATTACTATCCCTGTTCAAGGATTGACCAAGCAGATTAATGATATGATTTT